TGCACCTTTTAAAGTATGTGCTATCGCATTAATTTAACAATCAAACCCTTCAGTCCTCTCTAATTTCTCTCTCTAATTCTTTCTCTGTTTGTCTTTTCAGTGACCAACAGGGCAGGATTAAGAATGCCAGGTATAAACACTCCTTTCTCTCTCTCCCATCCCCCCTTACCTGCTAAGCTCCCTTTGCATGAATTAAATGTCACTCTGTGGATGGGGACAGAGAGATCTTTGTGCACACTGATAATAAGAAACTTTATACATTGAAGTGTATAGATCCAAGCATTATGTGGAAGGGGACTGTAAAAGCAAACCTAATTGCTAAAGCCAAGCTGTCTTTCTCTTACATGGAAAGAATTCTCTTTTATAGCTGCTTCTGTGCAAAGCGAGAGCAGACAAGCAGGAAGGATATAACTTTATAGTCGCGGAGAATCGGCAGAACAACAAAAACTGGATTTCTTCATGTCTCTTGAGGCTATGTTTTCTTTGCGTCTTGCTAGCTGATCATGTTAGACAGGACATGAATGCGTAGACAGTGGAGTCTGTTGGATAAGGTGCCTGATCATGCTTTCCTGTTGTGATCAGGTTTAGGAGTTTGTATTTTGTAGAGCAGGTAAAGTTCAGCCAAGCTGATTTATTATTATTTACTGTGGATTTCTGCTAGCAAGATGGCTTTTTTGATGTCTGATGTCTTCTCCCGCACAGAGAGGCTCATAGCCAGATCGAGAAACGTCGCAGAGACAAGATGAACAGCTTCATAGACGAGCTGGCGTCACTGGTGCCCACCTGCAATGCCATGTCCCGCAAGCTGGATAAACTGACAGTCCTCCGGATGGCTGTCCAACACATGAAGACGCTCAGAGGTTAGAATCAACTGGGAGGGTTGGGGAGGCAACGAAGTGAAAGGTCTTCTCATTCAAACACTTGCTCGCATCAGTTTTTGTGCTAACATGTGAAATATGCGCTGTTGAGGACCTGAGGGTTTCAATCCCAGTTAAATTAAGATTAAACAACGAAACATATTCATAAACATGGGAAACGTGAGAGGTTTTTACTGATCAGGTGACAAATAAAGAAGATAATTGATGATTGATCCCTAATCGGGGAACGGGCAGGTCAGGATAGTTGAGATGGATGATGTTAATGCAGTGAAGTTCCAAATTCTTAAAGGAAGATAAATTCATGTCACTCAAAGCAAATAAGATTAAGTGGGAGCATACAGCTTTCTAAAAAGGCTCTTACGTGTGCAGGTGCAGTCTGAATAGTCACAGGTGTGACCTGCGTGTGTTTGAATGTTGTGTGCAGGTGCAGCCAACCCGTACACAGAGGCAAACTACAAGCCTTCCTTCCTCTCAGATGATGAACTGAAGCACTTGATACTAAGGGTGAGTGGAAAAATCAAAAATAATTAAAGGTGCTTTTTATAACTATACAAAGGGGGGGAAAAAAACTCCAGAAATGAACTTTTAATCCAGTTTTTAACGTTCTGTTTAATAATGCAGGCTGCTGACGGCTTCCTGTTTGTGGTCGGATGCGATCGTGGCAAGATCCTGTTCGTTTCTGAATCCGTGTACAAGATTCTCAACTACAGCCAGGTACGCTGGCAGCCTGAGGAGTGAAGGGATCTTTTTGTTAATGGTGGAGGATTTTTAAGCCACCTTAAAAGGCTTTACTGTGAATCTGCTCACTCATTATTACGACACAAACAAGTGGACAATTCATAGCCAGCAAACATCTATGTCTATCCATCCTAATTTGAAATTCCACAAATTAAACGATTCAAATTTAGTCATCTTTCTCTCTCCTCTCAAGAATGACCTGATAGGTCAGAGCCTGTTTGACTACCTTCACCCCAAGGACATCGCCAAGGTCAAAGAGCAGCTGTCGTCCTCTGATACAGCCCCACGAGAGAGACTCATCGATGCTAAAAGTAAGCAAAAATGGGACGTGTGTAATCGGTTTTGTAGAGCCAAGAGTTTGGTCAATGCCGTTAAAATCTGTCACACCAAATGGTGTGAAAAGGAACCCCATGTAGGGAACTGAAGGCTAGAAACAGTCAGTGCATTTTCTCAAAGGAAAAGCCTGTTGATTTAACACAGCTGGAGGTAAAACAGGGGAAGTGTGCATCATTCAAGGCACTAAGAATAAAAAATGCAACCAAGAGCTCCAAATGGATTTATTTTCCACATGTGCGTTTCCTTTGTTATTTGTGTGCAAGTCCTTCTTTCTAAAATTGCCGAGGCTTGAAAGAATAGTCGTTTTCTGTTGACTGATTATTTCTTTTCCTTTATTTTCGCAGCTGGTCTTCCTGTGAAGACGGACATCACCCCCGGTCCTTCTAGACTCTGTTCTGGAGCCAGGCGGTCATTTTTCTGCAGGATGAAGTGCAACAGGCCGTCTGTCAAAGTAGAAGATAAAGACTTTCCCTCCACCTGCTCTAAGAAAAAAGGTAGCGCGCCATCGTCTTCATTACAACCTGACAACCTTCCTCTCTGTCAGAGCACCACCTGAAAAAGCTCTGTGCTTATCAGCTCTCTGGTCCCTTTCTGACATCCACTCATTTCTGTAAATCTGATGTCTCTGCTTGTCAGTGCTGTTTCTGTATGGGTGGACTGATCACAGCCTTGTGGAAAGCTGTGACAGCAATCTTATGAAGCGCGTGCAGTCAAGTTACCACTTATTCTTTTGGAGATTGGTGTCTAGATCTGACAAAAAGGAACCGCTGAAGTTAGTTTGTTGTTCCCAGTTGCTTCTAAAACTCTTTATTCTAAGTTAATGACATACCTGCAGGGTCCATGTGCAAGCATCTCTAAATAAAGAAGGATGCACTGATTTATGCACGCAGCACTACAGCAAGAACTTAATTACCCCTGACACAGAGATAGGACTGGTCAGGATCTATGGTGTGTTTTTCCCTTAACAATTATCTAAGGGTGTAGATGCACCATCATGACTACACGTAGGATGTAGCATCTGTAATTATAAGTATCAGTCGTATTAAACAAACTCTAATTTCAAGCATTTTACATCACTGTCAGGCCTAAAGGGTCAATGGTGTTGCTGCTGTGGCTCGTTTCTCCCACATCGTCTGACAGAACGGGTGAGGAGCATTAACATAAAAATAAGCCACGTCTGAAT